ATTTATTTCACTATAAACATGTAAAATAGTGATCTTTATCTTGCCTCCTAATGGAGATGTCTCTCATGTAGTGCAGCTTGCAGAAAGGGGTCCTGCCCCCCCACCCCTCAAATGAAAGTCACATCACCTTCAACTCATCATTTTATTGGAAAGAGATGTGCCTGGTAGCATTATTTGAAAAAAAAAGTTTGTTTTTTTTGAAGAGCCAGTGTAAGGCATGAAAATGTGGTTTGTTGTCTATGCAACGCTATGAGGGTTAAATTAGATGAAAGTGCTGATTTCAGCGTCTGTATTGTTTGATTTAAAATGTATCTAAGAGTTCTGTCCTTAATATTTACATAACCTGGAAGGGAAAGTCTGCAGATTTATAATACGTTTACAACGTCTGTCCTGCACCAAGGCAGACAGCTTTTTATGTTTACTAAATAGAGTGATTGTGTGAAACAGTGCTGTTACATTTGCAGACATGGTTTACCACTTTACAGTCTGTATAATCAGCACATTTGGTTTCAAAGAAAATGGGTAATTTTCTGGGTCTCGGAACTTCTGAAATAGGACACAAACTGTGACACTCCTTGACACATCCATCTCTGTCTGTTGCCCTACTTTGTGCTCTTTTAGTACCAACCACAGGCCAATCAAATGTTTTCCCTAGATATAGATATAAATTATTTTTACGCAAATAAGCATCAAAGATGATTGAAGTAGGCAATGCACATAATGAACCATTACGAATGGAAATTACAAAAAAGAAATGGCTCATGTTGAAATAAACACATTCATGTATTCTTGTTCAAAATATCGACTCCTCATTTGTTAAACTTATGTCACCTGTTGATGTTAATTTCATTATTTTGTTTTATTTTAATATGTTCAGCATAATTAGTTACTGCCTTAACAAGTATGGCAGCACATTATATTACAGCTCAGTAATAAATAAAATAATTGGTAATATTAGGGTAACAAGGCAGAAACAAGAATTTCATAAAGTGGTAATTTCCACATTTTTACATTATTGTTAAATTTTTAAGTTATTACCACTCAATTAGCAAAGTTATAACCAGTTAATATCCAAGTAATACCATGGTAGCAACAGTGGTTACAGATGGGTAATATTACACAGAAATATATGTCAATTTATTTAATTTATGAATAATAAGGGCCCATGGATTTGATTTCAAATATCCATCCATTTTCTTCCGCTTTATCGCGGGGGCAGCAGCCCAAGCAGAGAAGCCCAGACCTCCCTCTCCCCAGCCACCTCCTCCAGCTTATCCGGGGGAACACCAAGGCATTCCCAGCCCAGCTGAGAGATATAATCTCTCCAGCGTGTCCTGCGTCTGCCCTGGAGAACCTCGCCCAGGAGGCGCCCAGGGGGCATCCTTGTCAGATGCCCGAACCACCTCAACTGGCTCCTTTCGATGTGGAGGAGCAGTGGCTCTACTCTGAGCCCCTCCCAAATCGCCAAACTTCTCACCCTATCTCTAAAGGGAGACGCCAGCCACCCTTCGGAGGAAACCCATTTTCGCCGCTTGTATTCGTGATCTCGTTCTTTCGGTCACTACCCACAGCTCGTGACCATAGGTGAGGGTAGGGACGTAGATCGACCGGTAAATTGAGAGCTTCACTTTTAAGCTCAGCTCTCTCTTCACCACAACAGTGCCCGCATCACTGCAGCCGCTGCACCAATCCGTCTGTCGATCTCCCACTCCCTTCTCCCATCACTCGTGAACAAGACCCCGAGATACTTAAACTCCTCCACTTGGGGCAGGGTCTTGTCCCTAACCCGCAGTAGGCACTCAAATATTAGATTTCAAATATGTATTTAAAATCAACTGGTTTATGCAAGCATGGATCTATTAGGGAAGGCAAAAAGGAGGCAAAAAGTGGCTAAAGTTAGCAGGTGGCACCCCACTTCTTCTTTGTCTTTATCTATGGATAAATACAAAGCAGTCCACTGAATTAAATCCACATTCTAACTGCTGCTGTAGAACTGCATGGTAAGCAAAACCTTTATATTTTTCCTTAAGGTATATTTAGGGCTGTGTCTCTTGTAGTTATTAACTCAAACCACATACTATTAGCTCGCACAACTGATAGAGTAGCTAAAAGTAGCTTAGCAGCTAACTTTAGCTGAGTAGCTAATATTAATTAAAGCTGAACCACATTAAAGTAAAAACAAAAGGTTGCATAAAAGTAAGGTTGTCGTGAAATAAGCTGGCAATTATTATTGTAAATATGAATAGAGAACTGGATGTTGTTACACGTTCAGATAATACCGATATAATGTCGCTAATGTTATTAAGAGTATTAATTAAAAAATGAAGCACTCATTGTTCAACAGTTTAGGTGAGGGGATTAGAGGTGTGACGTTTTCAGAATATAGCTATCCAACCAAAGCACTAAATTTCAATGTTTTTCAATTTGTTATTTTGGGCAGAAAAGTAAAAACGATGAATTATGCAATATATATATGTACAGCATATACATATGTCTGTGACTCTGTGAGGGTGTGTGTCCTTATGTACATTTAACCTAACTAGTTCAAGTGAGACATCCTACTTGACGCTCTTATATGTTGCCTAATCTCTTAAGTACATCTACAGTAGCACAGTTTGAAGCTGACTAAACACTGTAAAAAAAAAAAAATAATCCATTAAAAGCATGTCCGTTACAAACAAGCAAAAACTCTTCCACTGAGTATTTTCTTGGAGATTATTCAGACTTGCAAGTGCCCTGTGCACACACTGCATATCTCTGTTTGTGTGTCTAAATGTGTATGTGTCTGAAGTAGTAATTTATATTTCAAGTCAGTAAGTGTGTGTGTGTAGTTTCACCATATGGAGTATGTCACGTCAAACTTTCCCCTCCTACAGCAGAAAACAGATTGTAAAAATACTGGTTTCAGGTTATGATAAAGAGGATACCAAAAACAGTGTTTCTTCATAACATTAGAGACAGTGTTTAAGCAGCAGAGAGAAAAAGAAAGCATTCAGTATCACAATTCAAAATGAGGATTGCATTATGAAACAGGAAATGCGAAAGAACAAAAAAAAAAAAACACAGACTGCCTGCATTTCTGTACTCCTACTTAGCTGTCCACATTTACATGAAGATGAATCACACTTTCAGGATGTTAGATAATAAAAATAAATACATTTAAAAAATGACATGTCACTAAAAACATTTTTTCAAAGGAAAAAAGTGAGAACTACATCAATACTACTTACAAAAGTGAGGAAAAAATGTCTCACTGTCTCACTTTTTCCAAACTGCTGCAAACCATCAAGTTCAATCACTGCAAGCTGTTGCTTGTTGAAAAAAAAAGAAAAGAGAAAGAAACACCGCAAGTTCCTCAAAATTAAAATAAAAGCAAGTTGCTTAA